CGCGCCCGGCCGACAAAAGGAAATCTTAAGGTAAGAGAAAGGTTTGAAAAAACAAGATTTTTTTCTTTGTCTTTAGATTCAGAAGTTTTACTATGGTCTCGATCTCCTGACCTCGTGATCCGCCCGTCTCGGCCTCCCAAAGTGCTGGGATTACAGGCTTGAGCCACCGCGCCCGGCCGACAAAATGATTCTAACTTTCCTTCTCAAATACAGACGTGGAGCAATCTGATGGGATTTGGCTCTCTGAAAAGAACAGCTTTAGGACGACAAAGACAAGGATGTTCAACTTTATCATCAAAGAGAATTCAAGTGACATTTTTTCATACATATTGAAGCACTTAAGTGGAAATGCTGGATAGATTTTAATGAATTCTGAACGCACACTAGCACAACTTTTTGGAGGCTGATCATGAAACTGCAAAATTGAGAAAATTCTGAGTAATTATAAATGTTTTTAAATAAGTTATGTTAAAAGAGAAGTGGGACCACTTTTTAGAACGAAGTGTAAATTAAAAAATCAATTTTCAAGAAAAGAATTGATGATTTCTATAAAGAAAAAGATTCTCTGGCATATCCTTACCTAGCCCTTCCTTGGCATGACTTGCTACACTCTAGCCATCATGAGCTGTGTCCTTCTGTTCATCCTCTGCTTCACAATATTTTCTCATCTTCCTTCTTGATATCCCCCCTCTGCTTGCCCTCTTAAAGACAGCACTCCTCAAGGGTGTTTGTTTATTCCTAGTCTTTCTTTATGATTCCTTTCTCCTTGAACCTCACTGCCTCAGCAACCGGCTCTACACAGATATGCCAGACCTGCATGGCAAGTCCTACCTCCCTCCCAAGCTCCAGACTCGCATTCTTAACCCTAGTTGCCCAAATTCATATAGGTCATCTGAGCATCTAAAATTCATTGTTGTTTTTTTATACAAAATAGTAATAGACTCAAAATCTCCCTATATTGCCCAGACTAGTCTTGAACTCTGGGGCTCAAGCAGTCCTCCTGCTTCAGCCTGTCAAAGTGCAGGGATTACAGGCATGAGCCACTGTGTCTGGCCAAATTCATCTTTTTCTTTCACAAATATAATCTCTCATATTCCCTTTCTTGGTCAACAGTATCATAACATCCACCCAGTAAACCCAGTTAAAATTTCTGACTTATCTGTCTCCTTTTCATTTTCTATATCTGAGCAGCCTCTAAGCTCTGTGTGGTGGAAGTTCCTGAATGTCTATACAGGTGGACATTTAGGCTTGATAATATGGAGGAGGGCTAGCCAATTTGTGTTAAACCATTGTTTGCATAGAAAACACACTGTTTTTACTTACAGTGTATATTTATTTAGGGTAGACTAAGGTTGAAGGTGTTGGGGTTCTGTGGAAGGGCCTTAAGAGCCCCCTAGTCCACCTGTTGGCATCATCACTAGTCCAACCAGATCTAACTCCTCAATGACTCTTAACTTTGTTACATGTGCTCTCAATCCCCAAATAAAGCACATCCCTTGTCTATTACCTAGATTATTGTGACCTTTAGTACTTCTCCTTGACCCTCATTCACCCCTAAATAATCTTATATCTAACCCATCATGATCCTGCTCAAAAATTTTTGATGACTCCCACTGCCTGTATAAAAACCAAATTCCATAATCTAGACACACCCTACCTTTCCGACTTCATCTCATCACATTGTCACTCAACTGCACATTCTACATTCTGGTTTATGTCATGTAACATTATTCATTTATTTATTTCAGCAAACCCTTTAGACCTTTTCTGGGCCCCTTATCAATTTCTCCCCAATTGCTATTTTGACCTTTCACTGTCCTTGAATTTTCACTGAGAATATTTAGGAAGAAGCTCCTCACTGACCTACTCCATAGCTATGTGCACTTTTTATGTGCACACCTACCCTCATTCATGTCCTCTCATGACCCAAGGTCATGGGTCCATTCATGTTTCTCTTGCATGCTCTTCCAACCTCCCCCTATCTAATGTATTCTTCCCACAGGATAAGCCTGCTCAAGTCCCTTGGATACTAAAAGAAAATGCCACCCTGCAGCTCCCTCAAAATGCCACCTTCTTCTCTCATAGCTAGGTGTTTCAAAGTGATGGTCAGCAACTCGCCATGGCCTCTTCAGCACACTGCAGCCTGACTTTGGCTCACTTTTCTTTTGACCTGTGCCAGTAAAGGTCACCAACAACCTCCAGTTGCCACATACAATGGGCCCTTCAGTCTTCACCAAGGAAAACCTCTTCAGCATTCCCCAAAGCTTAGGTTAAGGAAGAAGTATAGGCTCCTTCTTTGACCACCGTTGACTACTCTCCCACCTTGAAACTCATTTTCAGTGGCTTTTGTGATACATCTCTGTAAAGATGAGGTCTCAGGAGTACACAGATGACAAGAAACAGGGATGACTGAAGAGAGTTTAATGAAGGAATCATTTGCAAAGATCTAGGATTAAGGTAAACTAGCAAGGGAAGGTGATGGACCTATAGGCTAGCAGCAGGGGACAGCCTTGACACCCTTAGACCTGTAGAGATAAGGCAAAGTTGCAACCATGAGGTTGCCTAGCAGGAGCCCTGGTCTTTGGCAGACCATAGCCAGTAACAATCCATTTACAGCAGAAGGAAGCCAGAAGGTGATCACCCCAGCCTTTCTCTTCTCACTCTCCAATCTCCTGGCCATGACCCCAAGTGGCTGAACTCTTGAAGCCAGAGGACAAGAGAGGCATTGATGTGGTCCACAGCAATCAGCCTTCCAGGCCACAGAGCAGGATGGAGAAGGATAGTGGATTTGGAGGGGCAAACAGAATATCCAGTGCACACTTCCTCCTAATTTTTCTGGCTCTCTGTGATTCTTTCTCAGGCTCCTTTTCTGACCCCTCTTCTTATACTAACCTCATAAATATGTGTGTTTCTCAGGGCTTGGTCTTTGGTCCTCTGGTCTTTTCACTCAGTTCACTTTCTCCATGTGAGCTATCAATCATCATGGCTTCAACCCCTAGCTAAGTGTTGATATTTCCCCTTTCTATAACTCTTAGCTTTGAAATCTTTCTGGAGCTTTACACTCACATCCAGTTGTCTATTAGCTATCTCCATGGGCACCTCAAACTAAGTGTACACAAAACGAAACCCGTCAGCTCTCCCTAACCCTCCCCACTCACAGAATCTGATCCTCTGTGTTCTCATCTCACTAGCTACCCGGCTGCTCCTTCCAGAAATTTGAGTCATTCTTTTGATGTCTCTCTCCTCCTTTCCCTTATCTAACTCATTAGTCACTAACTACAGCCAATTCTAGCTCCTAAGTACCTTCCAAACATATCCCATCCTCTCTGTCCACATTGCCACAGCTTTCGCCTTGACAAGCTTTCACCTTGACACTCTGAGATCTATCGTAACAGTGCTTTCTGTATTTTCTGTATTAGTCATTATTCTCCAGAGAAACAGAATCAATAGGATACATACAGATAGAAAAATACTTATTATGAAGAATTGGCTCATGTAATTATGGAGGCTGAGAGTTTCCACAATCTGTTGTCTCTAAGATCAAGGCCCAGGAAAGCCAATGGTAGAGTTCCAGTTTAAGCCCAAAGACTTGAGAACCAGGAGAGCCAGTGTTGTGAGTTGCAGTCTAAATCCAAATATCTGAGAACCAGGAGTGCTGATGTCTAAGAGCAGGAGGAGATAATGTCTCAGCTCAAGAAGACAGAGCAAAGCCCTCTTTTCTCCACCTTTTTGTTCTGTTTAGGCCCTCAGTGGATTGGGTGCTGCCTGCCCACATAGGTGAGAGCAATCTTTATTCGGCTGCTGACTCAAATGCTAATCTCTTCCAGAAACACCTTCACAGACACACCCAGAAACCATGTTTTACCAGCCATCTGGGCATCACTTAAAGTAGGCACATAAAAATTAATCATCACACCTCCCGCCCTACATCTCTTTACTATTTCTCACACTGCAGCCAGGGGGTGGTTTCTAAAATGCAAATATGATTATGTGGCTTCCCTGAGTAGAGACCATCCATTGACTATAGTTTTTTTTGTTTCCCTAAATCTCCACATGTAACTGAAAGAGGTTCAGTCACTCACCACCTGCAGAGTCCAATTAACAAGATTGAGTCTGACATAAAGAAAGTGACTTAATTCCAAAGCATAGCTTAGGGGAAGAAGTACAGATTCCTGCCTTTAAGGATATCGCTTCACTTTTGGGGCAGAAAGCAGAGGCTTTTAAGCAGGGACTTGGCATGAATGGCATGCAGGAGAGGGAGCAAGCAGGTGTAGGGTCTGCATGACTCGCTTTGGTGCTGTATCTACCAAGCTGGCACCATCGTGGGCAGAGCTAGGTTGTAAGGTGGCCACCGTCTTGAGATCCACTCCAGGTGAGAGAGAGCTCTGTTGCGAGAACACTTCAGGTTGTAAATTGACTGTTGTCTCTTGAGGCCATCTCTTGGTGGGAGAATTCCCTCTCTGGTGCATAGTTATTAGATTGGTGCAAAAGTAATTGCAGTTTTTGCCATTACTTTTGCCAGATTACCTTGGCACCAAGCTAATAGATAAGCTTGCTCTGTAGGAAGTGTCTGGTGAAGGGAAGGTAAAGGTTATAATTTCATTTATAAAGAGCTAAGAAGTGAGGAACAAGGGAAAAGGGAGAAGAGAAAAGAAGGAAAAAAATAAAACATAAT